TTTTGTTTTGATATATAAGTTGTTCGGTTTTTTTCATCTTACAAAAAGCGACATTAATTTCTTGACGACCTAATAAAATCAATGGGTAGCTAACCCAACTGTAGCCCAAGTGGATCTCATGGGAACATCGTAGGGTTCAAGATTTCTCGTTTATTTATCGAATGTAACTAATAATCCCGTAGTGAAGAAAATTAGCAGTTACCTGTAGCCTCTTTTTTCCTACACCGGGGTCTGTAGGAACAATCAAAATATGTTTAAACAATGGAAAGTTAGAAAAATAAATCATATTACAATATTTAATGTTTTACAAGAACCACATACTTTTCTTAATCATGATGTCATAAACACACGAATCACAGACTTTTCTCATTACACAAAATTACATTCTCAAGATACCGATACCTAATGAGTCCCTTCTTTGAAGTAATAAATTGAAAGTCACAAGATTAATGAACGTGCATCGTCTCGCATATTTGACAATAATGAACGGAAAACGTCTACCATACATCAAATGGTTTGAAAAGCAGATATAATAAATGAACTTAGTATTCCGAAAATTGTTTAATCTCGAAGCGTAAGTTCAAGGGAGATCCAGTTCAATCAACACTTTGATCAACATGTGTTATTGGGTTACAATAGTTCCAAAGAATTCCACTTCTCATCAGCAACTCTGAACCTAAGTTAACTAAAGAGAGATCAGCTGGACCTATATCATAGTATATCACAGGCTATATAATGTGAAGATTTGAATAGTGGCCAATGAAACTTTTTCTTCAATTCACTTATTCAGTGTATATGTTTTTCATAGTGACTACAAAGCACGTTCACAACAACAATATGTTTGAAATGCATATAAACACGTGTAAACTTATAATATAAATATGAGGTTTGATGAAATTCAAAACGTATTATCTGTAAAAGTAGTGCTTCATTAATACCATGAAAATACGGTGATAACCCAATCAATAGTTAATTTGAAATTACGAGTGAATCCAGGTTACAGTGTTATTTGGAAGTGTGGGTTCAAATTTCATTTTCTATTTTAAAATTATGCAACATATGAAATTTAAAGTTCTTATAGATGCCAAACTGTTTTTTGTGACCTAATTTAATCCAGCTGTAATTAACTGTTCTTACTACAGGTTATTTTAATGATACCATACCTCTAGTGACTTTCACCATGTGTCAAGTTAAACTTTGGTAACTAACTCATGTGTGTTAGATGGTATACGTGTGGTTAATTATGGTACCATACCTCTAGTGACTTTCACCGTGTGTCAAGTTATACTTTGGTAACTAACTCATGTGTGTTAGATGGTATATTTATGGTTAATTATGGTACCATACCTCTAGTGACTTTCACCGTGTGTCAAGTTAAACTTTGGTAACTAACTCATGTGTGTTAGATGGTATACGTGTGGTTAATTATGGTACCATACCTCTAGTGACTTTCACCGCGTGTCAAGTTAAACTTTGGTAACTAACTCATGTGTGTTAGATGGTATACGTGTGGTTAATTATAGTCATTCATACAAATGAACACTTATTTTAACAGCGTACAGGTAAGGGAGGAGGTTGAAGGATATACTGTTATATACTGTTGTTATAATTTGGAAGGTAAATTCCGATTTTTCTTTATTCTAACAGTAGTCATCTGTGACACAGATATATTTATTATGCTTTCATTACAGATACATAACCTAAGGAGATAAGTCATACGTATCATTCCAGTGGTCTGTTTTAGATAACCTATATTTCATTTTTTTTCTTTCATCGCTGCTTGTTTCAGTGTGACAATACCTCCCTAATACACACTGTGTACAGTGGTTGGTAATTGTGGGCTTGGATCGTTGTGCGAATGAGCACCTATATTTGCTCTTAAGTATTTAGTTCCAGCTTCATTTCACATGTAAAGTTTGAGAAGAGAGCTAATTTCCGATAGGCACAGTATCTTCACCGTCGAGTGGTTTCTAATACTGCAGTTAAAAATTTTTGAACTCTGTCATAGATATACAGAGTTTAAACCCTAATTTTATTTGCCCATCTTGTACGTATGAGAGAGACGCTTTATTTTTGGCCTAGTTCTTCGAAATTTTGAGAGAAATGCTAGTGATTTATGATCTCCTTTCTTGAAATGTTTATAATAACTATTAACGTTTTGTTAATTTTTAAATAAATAGGTTAATGTACCTCCATATACACGTGTATTTATTTTTCTATGGGAAGTAAGTGATATAAAATACATATAAGACACGACAAAAATTACATAAAGCTACAAAGGTAATGTTTTTTGTACTTGTGAATTTGTACTAGGTGAATTTTCGAAATGCTGATACTTGCCCCATAAACGTTTGTTGAAAATTGATATAAAAAGAACCCTAAAATTAAAATGGCTTTCAGAAGAGTGTGACCAAACATAACAATAGTGCAATTTATACCTATACATAATAGAATGTAATGTGAAACATACACATCCGAAGTTCGTGACATATATATATATATTCACATTTCTATTAAGACTTCTTAAACCTACGTGTTTTTCTAACATCATGAATATATAGCTCAAAGCTTCATCTCTTGATCAGTTTCAGATCTAATTACAGTGGCGGCTATTGAGGTTTCTCTCTAGTTTCAGTAATAGTGACCACATACTATTATTTTATATCCTTCCTAAAGCTCTGAGTGGAAATAGCGAAGTTCAATTATTTCTGAAATTCAATGCGAAAGGCTCAAATACGTTTACGCTTTGTATGTAGATTATATATATTTCCGTCTCTACTACTGCTGGATCTTGAAAGTAATTTTTAAAATTTTGATTTAAACAGTATTTAGCAAAGCAAATTACACTATTTCACGTAGATTAGAGGATGAGTTTAATTAAAACAAACGGAAGTGACATACCCACAGTCTCTGAATAGTCTTGTTTGTTTGTTTTGAATTTCGCGCAAAGCTAAACGAGGGCTATCTGAGCTAACCGTCCCTAG